TGTGTGTGTATTTGTGTGTGTATTTGTGTGTGTATTTGTGTGTGTATTTGTGTGTGTATTTGTGTGTGTATTTGTGTGTGTATTTGTGTGTGTATTTGTGTGTGTATTTGTGTGTGTATTTGTGTGTGTATTTGTGTGTGTATTTGTGTGTGTATTTGTGTGTGTATTTGTGTGTGTGCTCAGGGAAATAAATAGATGATAGATAGATAGATAGATAGATAGATAGATAGATAGATAGATAGATAGATGTGTGTATGTATATATCCACATATGTGTGTGTATACACTCACACACACACATTCCTGAAACAGCCTGGTAGTATAGGCCTGAAATCCCACTTTACTCAGGAGCCTAAAGCAGTAAGATCCCAAGTTCAAAGCCTTCCTGGGAAACTTAATGAAGTCCCAATCCTAAAAGGAGAGATAAGGGGAAACTAGGGATATTGGTTTGTAGTAGAGCACTTGCCTAGCATGTAGGAGGCACTAGGTTCAATCTACAGTATGGACCATGTTCAGCCCTAAAAGACAGGAAGTGTGTTCATTTTGTTGATGCGATTATGTAAGTTAGGAGACTGAGAAGTTGCGTGTTCACTTAGTTACTAATTAAGGAATGGCTTTCTAGGACCTGTAAAATCTAAATCTCTTAGGCCATGTGACTTTCCACTCCTAACATGTTGTCCGTGACACTTTGGGGAGGTCCAGAAAGGCCCGGAGACTTGCCATGGTCATAAAGTCCTGAAGCAGAATGAACCTTGAATGCTGACACCCTGACCATTATTCCAGGTGCTGACTGCCGCAGGCTTTCTCTTAAGCTCCTGTCCCATTCTGCAGGGCGTTCTTGTCTCTGGTGTCCATTGTTCAGGCTCAGCATGTTGGTAAGACTAAAGTGAAAGCCTTCGCAGAGGTACACAGGGCCTTGCTACCTGTGTAACTTGGGAGACATCGAGCCTCTGATTTAACCAGCCCTATTACTCTCCAAACTTTGGTCCTTTTGATATGTGAGTTATCACACTTTCTTTCTCAATGTGTTGGCCGTGGAGTCGGGTTTTACTGAATCCTAACAAGCATGAACATGCTGGACTCTAGTCTCATAGCTCTTACTCTCCAGGACATTGGATGAAGCGCCTACTTCAAACCATCTTTTGTTCTTCTGTTATCAAGGTGGTGCATGGAGCTAAGTCCTGCTCCATTGATGAGATCAAATGCCCTTGGGGAGCAGGCGGCTTTGTGCTGATGAGAAATTTGAAGCTCTGAGTTCTGTCTGACTCCACGGGCAGCTGGTTGTGCCTTCCATGCTCTGTCGTGGTTTAAATATAACCAAAGTTCCCATGGGAGAAATTTATTCTCTGTGTAGCCTATCCTGGAACTCACTCTGTAGACCAGGCTGGCCTCGAACTCACAAAAGCCAGCTTGCCTCTGCCTCTAGGGTGCTGGGATGAAAGGCGTATGCCCCACCACCTGGCTATTCAGTGTTTCTGCATCATTTAAACTCTGCCCACCACCTTATAGGATTACAATGAGATAAAGACTATCCTACAAAATAAATCCCTGGTCAAGCGTTGGATGGCTATATGTTCCCCATGTGCCTTGCACAGAGGGGCTGATTTGGGAGGAAAAGTCGTAGAAAATTCTCCCTAGATGAAATGAAATGCAACACCACCAAATATTTTCAAAATGCAGGCTCCCTGTGAACATGAACAGGCTTTGTCTGTCTGTCTGTCTCCACATGAAAAGCGTTGAGTGCTGAGACCACAGTACACACTGTTTCCACTGTGTCTGGGCTGTTTTGAAGGGACTGACATGATTTCCAGAGCTGAAGTGATTCTTCTGATGCTTTGTTCTTTCCTAAAGCTCTATACCAAGATGGTATCTGGCATTTGTCCTTTCTCCTTCCCCTTTGACTGCACATCTTCAGGGGCCTTTCAGGGCTTTGCCTTCTGGGCTCTTGGGTTGTGTTTATTAGGCAAGGCATCTGTTAAAGGTGCCCTCTTGCACCTTCTGGGAGTCTCTGGATTGCTGGTGAGGATTGGGCTAACCATCCTGCATCAATAGGAGGCTGCATCAATTCAGGGCTCAGTCATTGTGCTATTTCCCAATTGGTGTCCCCACAGAGAGAGCAGGACAGAGCCTGGCAACCTTACCTCTACTTCCGAAGCAAGCCAGAGAGCCAGCGCCAACGGCAGATCCAACCTGGGTATTCGGCCAAGAGATACCTCCGAAGCCTTTTGCGGACATGGCCCCCTGATACAATGTATAGGCTCCGATGTGCAGGTCAGTGGAAAATGGGAGTGAGTGAACCCTGTCTCCCTCCCCCATCAGTCTGATGTAAAGGTGTGTTTTCCATTGATTCCAGAAACATCAGGATATAAGGTCCAATTCTGAACTAAGACAAAGTTCCCATGCTCTGTGGTCCACAAGCCTCTAGCCCAGCTATTGCCTTTTGTCTTTGCTGACATCTGCATCAGGAAGGGTCACCTGAGTATTGGCCCTACTCATACTGTTCAAACTCAGCTCCTCACAGTCCACAGACCAATCCAGAATTTGTTTCCCCACCTACCCCACACTGAGGCCTCAGAGATCTTCCAACTTAAACCCCACTGTTCATAATACAAGACAAAAAGTATTTATTTGTCTAAGGTTAGGCAGCCAGAAGCAGAGCTGGGCCCAGAAAGCAGGTACTTCCTGTACTCATAGCTCCACATTCTTCCCAGCATCCCCAGTTCTGTGTCTGAGGTCATCTCAGGTCCTCTGGCACAATCCCCTCAGGAGAGAGATGATCACCCCTCCGCCTGACAGAAACCCCAAATGCACCCTGTGGACTTAGGAAAGCCTGAATTGGGAATTGGAGTTGCCAAATTCAGCACACTACACCCACACAAACAGTGCAACTCACAATATTTGGGACATATTTCTACTAAAAAGTATTCGTTGTTTATCTGAAACTTAAACTTAATTGGACATCCTGTATTTTATTTGGCAAACCGCTGGGGATGAGAGATGGGTGGTAAGATGTGCCAGACCTCACTCTGTTGCTTGCCGTTCCTTCACTATCAACACACAGGACCAGAAAATTCTGACTTGCTTCTTGTTTTATAAGTTTACCTGGGAAAGGAGAAAAAACAGTTCTCTGCCCCAATAAGTGGTGGCTTGAAACAAAATGAGAGGCATGGGCTTGCCTGGCAATTGATTTTACTTTCAAGGTAGTGCCATGGTTACAGGCCGTTCTATTTACTTACCACTTGGGAGAAAGAGCTCCTCAACCAAAAAGTGTTGTCACTGGATGGGGCCAAGGCAGGGCAGACTACAGTCCCACAGCCCGGGCCCAGTGTTCTCAGGAAGATAACAGCTTTTAAGCAACAACAACAAAAAATCTCAGATCCATCCATGGCATCATCTAGATAGCATGTGTGGTCTAAGAAAATGTGCAGGGACTTCATATTTGTGGGCCCCTTGCCATAGCTCCTTGCTAAAGTCTCTCTTTAATGTAGTCCCTCAGGCTGGAAGAGCAATGGTGAGAGGCCAGATCCCAACACCTCCTTTGTCGTTGTCATTCTCTTCCCCTCACTCACCTTGTGATGTTATCGAGGTCTCTAGTCACTTCTGCCTGCCCCTGTGATGAATCAACCCCACCCTTCAAGCCTGTTTCTTTTCTTTTTCATCCTTTCTAAAAGCTTTTTTTTTTTTTTTTTGCTTGCATGCCGGTTTGTTTGTGTGTTTGTTTGTTTTGAGACAAGGTCTTAGCATATATCCCTGGCTGGCCCGGAAATTGATCTCTGGCATCAAACTCATAGGCACCCTCCTGCTTCAGTCTGAGTGTTGGAATTAAAGCCACCATGCCCAGCTTGAAAAGTTGTTTATGTTAGCATACAAGGTAATGGGTTTCATTAGGGCACCTTCATAGACATGTCATTAGAGTGTGTTCTCTTTCCTCCCCCTGCCCCACGCACGGCTCCTCTTCCATCTTCCTTCTCAGTTGGTCCCTCCTCTGCCTTACGACATTGCCTTCTCTGTCTTCCACCTCCCTCAAGATTTTTCCCTGCCCTTTCATGATGCCCATTTTAGTTTCATAACCTACATGCACATACGTGAGTGCACATTTATGTAAACAAACATATACGAAGATTTTAATCTAGACTGCATATCCAAGCTGGAATCTTAATGAGAAGGCTTTTTTAACAATCCCCACATCACACTGATCCTCAGAGCTAGAACTGAGTCCACAGAGACCCCTCTCTCCGATGGCTGAGAAATCCATGCCTAGTTCCTCCGTGTCTACCCTGCGGCCTAGCGGAGGGGGGGCGCTTGGTAAAACTTCAAGAAATACTACAGAATGACTGGATTAGGTTCAGAAGACTGATGATCGTGGGGCAGACAGAAGAAAGCAAGACAAACCCACTATGATCAGATCTCTCTTTCTGAAGCAGAGCAAGCCTCCTAGTCAACACCCAGGAAGCTGCCATAGTTTTGTTTCCCAACAAGGACCTGGTTCTTGGGAATGGTGAAGTAGGACAAAGAGCTCGTGTGGCACAGAACCAAAGCACCCAAGGCACTTGACAGGGAAGCTTCCATGCATTCCATCTGAGTTTTCTAATCCTGCTCGTCTTCTAATTGTCCTCTTTAATGTCTGTTCGAAGCCAACCCCACTGCAAGTGGGGACTGTGTAGTTTTCCGCAGAACTCTAGGTTGGTTTTTATAGTTCACATCTGTGACTCCTGCCCTGCCCCTCAGGACACATCAAGGATTCTGTGCTGCTCCAGGGTAGTCAGCTTGGGGTACCCAGGAATCTCAGGCCACACCAGGATCTTTCAGGTGTTCCCCCAAAATACCATCTCCGGCCTGTCTTCCCTTCATTTTGGATTCAACAGAGACCATCTTATGAACAAGGTACCTGTTCGTTGTTGTTTTCATCTCTCATGTGTATGTGCAGTGTGATGTGAGTGTGTGTGTGCATGTTTGATTGTATGTGAGCACATGTGTGTGGGTGGGTGTGCTCATCCACATGTCTGTAGATACGTGCTGAGGCCTGAGGGTGACGCCAGGATCTGCATTGCTCTTCCACCTTATCCATGAGGCAGGTTTCTCAATCGAACCCAAAGTTCATTGATATGATAGTCTTGCTAACCAGCTTGCCTTGGGGATCCCCTGTCTCTAACCTTTGAAGCTAGAATTCTATTCTAAGCAGGTTGCCACACCCACCCAGCATTTAAGTGAGTTCTGGAAACCTGAACTCTGGTCCTGATGCTTGCATTACTAGCATTTTAACCACTGAGCCATCTCCTTGACCTGTACCTGTTGGTTGCGTGACCAGTTCACAGATATTTGGATTTTTTAAGAACTTAAAAGTTTTGCAGAGTAAGATCTAGGGGTTCTGGTTCCATCGTCTTCATCTGTAACATGAAGGGGTCAGTCTGGAAACTTTGACACATGTGCTATCCAGTAGAGTAGCCATTAATCACATATGTCTAGCGAGTATCTGAGAAACTGAGTTTTTAATTTAATTTTGATGTATTTACATACAAATAGCCATACGTGGCTCAAGGCAACTGTACTGAACTGAGCAACATAGATCTGGACTTTAGAGTTCAGATTTCTAAAGAGTGTTCTATTCTAATATTCTTTTGTGTTTGTCAGTTGGTTAGGGTTTTGAGACAGGGTCTCACTGCGTAGCCCAAGCTAACTAAAACTCACAGTCCCCCTGCCTCAGCTTTCTAAATGCTTGGGTCACAGACATATGTCACTAGCTAACATTATTTAATCCTGTGATTTTTGTGACAATGCTTTAACAATATATAAACTTAGGAGCCATGAGTCTGTTTTGCATTGCTCTCCTTTGATGTTTGAGACGGAAGCTCTTTTTTGTTTGTTTGTTTGTTTGTTTTTTAGTTTTTTGAGACAAGGTTTCTCTGTGACTTCAGAGGCTGTCCTGGAACTAGCTCTTGTAGACCAGACTGGTCTCGAACTCACAGAGATCCACCTGCCTCTGCCTCCCGAGTGCTGGGATTAAAGGCGAGCACCACCACCACCCAGCTGAGATGGAAGCTCTTGAGCAAGTCGGTTAACCTCTCTGAGTTTCCATTTGTTCATCTGCGTAATGGGCACACTGAGTACTCAGTACTACACAGAAAATTATCATGATCCATCTTCAACTGATGTTTTTCTTGAGGCGTGTGTCACTGAAAGAGCTGTGAGTTGCCTTTGGTAAGAGAAAGGAAAAGTTGGCTAGGAACAGAGAGCTTGAGAAAAATAAAGGTATTGTCTGAAATTCAGAAGTTCCCAGAAACAATGGCAAGCTCTCTCTTGGGAAAGGGATCATTTCGGGATAAGTAGAGGAGGTGTGGAGTATGGCCGGTCCTCAGAGGCTGGTGCCATCAAGCACTCCAACTACACAATTCCCTTGACCCTAGACTCTGGTGCCACAGAACTCTGGTCAGAACCTGGTCCACAGGTTCTGTTTTGTCTCTATAAAACAAGCTGGTCTGGCAATTGTCTTCCTCATTATCCCTTTATACTTTTGTTTATAGTATAAGTCTCTATGTGCTTTGTTAACATGGGTTGAAATTCCTTAAACCACTAGATTGTAGAACATTGAAGAAATCATGTTTCTGGGCAATCCATGTCCTAGGTAATGTCCCCATGTGGGGACTCTTGCTCTTCTGCCCTTCACTGAGAGGACAGCTATTGCATCAGTGCCTTATGCCATCTCTTCCCAGACCCCCTGTCTCCAGTTGATAGCCTGGGATTTTGATGATCTGGGACCCAATAAAGTAGGCAGTGAATTGTTGTGCTTTCACTGGGAAGGGTGTCAAGGCTTCAGAACTGTGGGGTCAGTGACTTCACTGACACCATTTACCAAGGAGCTGTCATCATCAGGCAGAAAACAGAGAGATAATGGTAATAGCACAAGATTCTAAGCCATATGACCTGTCTGGTCCTCAGTTTCCTCATTTATAAAAGTGAGTGACCACACCATGTATACTTCATAGGACCATATGTGGGAGTTCAAGGGGATAGTGCAGTCCCTGGCACATAGTAAGTGCTCAATAAATGTTAATTACAGACCTCCCTAGATCTTTTCCAACATAATTACTAATTGCGATGCCCAGTTGTCCATGATCACGGGGGCAAAAAAAAAATCCATTTTAAAGAATTATATGACATTCAGAGGCTGAAACTTGGACTCCACTGTTTTCATTAGTTTTTAACTTCATTAATTTTAGCTTCCCTGTGTTTGTCTTTTTTTTTTTCTGAAGAAGTAGGAAAAGCCCTGGCTGTAAGATTCAGATCCCCAACAATGAGCCAAGCTGTGCTACCTACTTCCTTAGTTTGCTCATCTATATAATGGGAGCAATGGTGTCTGCATTACTTCCCCTGTGAGCTTTTGTCAAAGATTGCAGCAGGGCTGTGGAGATGGCTCAGTTAGTAAGAGCACTTGCTGTGTCAGCAAAAGGACCTGAATTCAAATCCCCAGCACCCATCTTGGCCACGAGCACCTGGAACTCCAGAAGTTAGGGGAGGAGGCCAATAAAAACCTAGTGCTTACTGGCCAGTTAGCTAAGATGGTGAACTTTAGGGTCAGTGGTGGAACCTGTTCAAAAACTAAGATGGGGCCGAGGAGATGGCTCAGCGGTTAAGAGCACTGACTGTTCTTCCAGAGGTCCTGAGTTCAATTCCCGGCAACCACATGGTGGCTCACAACCACCTTGAATGAGATCTGGTGCCCTCTGCTGGCCTGCAGGCAGAAGACTGTATGCATAATAAATAAAATCTTTTTTAAAAAAAAGATGAAGAATGATAGAGGCATTACAGTACACACCTTTAATCCCAGGGCTGAGGAGGCAGAGGCAGGAGGATCTATGTGAGTTCAAGGCCAATTTGGTGTACAGAGTGAGTTCCAGGGCATCCAGTGCTGTGTAGAGATATTCTGTCTCAAAAAAAGAAAGGAAGGAAGGAAGGAAGGAAGGAAGGAAGGAAGGAAGGAAGGAAGAGAAGAGTAAAAGACTTTTGGTATTCTCTTTATGCCCAGACAGACAGACAGACACACACACACAGAGTGTATATGTGTAAAATGAAAAGAGAATGGAAAGAAAGAAAAATCATGGTGAAGGAAGAGGTAAAAGCTCTCTGATAATTCTAGCTTGCTAACCTGAGGCACATGATTGGGATAGTCGAAGTCCATGTTTGATGTACAAAGGGATGTAGCTTTGGTCTCCTTTCAACAGTAAAGATGTCAGGTGCTTTTCTTGCAAGCCTGGTTCTATTAAGCATAAACTACTGAGCCAGGTGATGCCATACTAAGAATTGTTGCTCTCACAGAGGTTGAGTCACAGATTCAATCTCACTGTGATATGACCCAAGAGAAGTGACCTGTGTCTACCCTGTTGAGTGAGTACTCATTTAGCTGGAGCTTCACTTCCTCCGCTCTCAGAAGTATATCTGACTGTAGATGAATCTGATCAGGAAGAATGGATCTGCAGTCTGGCTTAGCATCAAAGATCATTCTAGAATTCCTCAAAAGGTCTTTAGCACTATATACTGTGTGGAGTTAAGGTCCTCTTGCAAACATGCCAACGTGACCCTGGGCTATTCATTAAGTTCCCTGAGCCATAAAACCCAGGGAACTTAAACCTGAGCTTCTGCCTTATCCATTAATACTTTCAGCATCACTTTAAACCAGAGCACCCTTCAGGCAGAGGAAGGGGATGGGGAGAGCTGTCCCCCACACCCAGGCTTTTGACTCTAGAGCCAATGACACCAAGGATGAGAATGATAAAGGCAGGTGAGGGTCTGGGGAAAGCTCAGGAGTCCCAGACACCCAGTTCTCCATCTCACTCAGGACATTTGAAGGTTTCCAGTGCCCCTAGTTGAAAGAAAGCAACATATTGTTCCACAGAGCTGTATGCTGGGAGGAGTGGAGGTATTGCTACAGCTTGACTCCTAACAAGGAAGGCTTTCCAGACTCTTTCAGCAATAAATCTACCTTGAGTTAGTGATGAAAAATAGCTGCAGGACCCTTTAAACCATTGGTGAAAGATTTGCTAACTATGCTGCAATCGTCTGTTGATTCGGATCCTCCCAGCAGGCTGCAGACAGGGTGAATCCTGAGTGAGCAGTCCTACCTGGTCTTCCCCAAGCAAACCACCAGGAGATACCCAGGAGCCCCAAGGTCAGGTTTCCAATTTGGCATCCAGTGGCTACAAGTCAAGGCTACAAGTCAGGCCACATAGTCACACCACCACTGCCCAGGATCCCTCGCATGTCACACAGAAGTGGTCACTGTCGTTTTTCCTGACCTGAGACCCAGCCACCTCTAAAAGGAAACAAGGGCAAGAATTGGGATATTGGGATCCCGATTTTGCAAATGAGGAAACAGTATCCAAGAAGCAAAACTCCCACCCTTGTTCTCCAGACACCCAGGGCAGCCCTGTGTCTACCAACTGGCTGCCATTTCCATGGAGGCACTGTGATTTGTCTGAGGTTTCCAGCTGACCCACTGTTACCTCTGCAGACCAACAGGGCCTGGATGAAGGGGAAGCCGGGACTGATGTCTGTGTGGACCAGGGCCCTGCTACCCAGCACCACAGCAGTCAATGGACTTCCCTGACGCCACTCAGGAAGCAGCCATGGCAGGAAGATGAAAGCCGGGCCAAGGTACCCTTTCTGTCAGGGTTCTCTCTGTTCCTCTGACTTCAGAAGAGCGTCTCCCTCCCCTTCACTGTGTCTTGGGACTCCAGAGAACAGAACTTTGACTCTGGATACAGTTTCCTACACTATCAGTAAAGGAACCCTGACATTACCAGATGCTCCTTTCAAAGGGGGTCTTATGCAGGTAAATGCACCTGGGAAATGCTGCTCACATGTCCCCAACCTGGGAAGTCCCAGTATGCATTGGACAGGGAGTGCTTTCAGAGGTCCTGGGGTGAAGGCCAGTTTCACTCTGTCCATCTCCTGGCTCCCCACAGTGCTGAGACGGTGTCCTCCCTGACTCCCCACCCAACCTAGGCCTGTGGCCTTAGACTTGGTCTATGTTTCTTACTAGTTGTAATAGACTAAGAACTTAATCTCTAACCTCCTGAATGAACTCCTCTACAGGATGGAGTTGTGAATTAAAATGTAGAAGAGCTTTCTAAACTCTAAGGCTGTGTGTGTGTGTGTGTGTGTGTGTGTGTGTGTGTGTGTGTGGTATAGGGGTGGGTAGGTGTGAGAGAGATGTGTGGGGTGTGTATGGTGTGTGTATGTGTGCCTGTGGTATGTGGGAGCAGGGGTGTGAGAGAGATGTGTGGGGGGTGTGTTAGCCATTGCTCAGAGAAACAGAGACAGTATCTGTTCCTATCTTGAATGATCTTGTTTGGCTTCACAAGGTCACATGTCAAGGAGTGCAGAGATGGGCAGAAGAGCCACACTACAGAAGGGGAAAAAGATTTTATGATGTAAAGACGATGATTTAAGCACTTTGTCCTGATATTTTTTTTTCTGTAAAGCACTGTGTGTCAGACATAGCTGTGTGTCATTCCCTTTTTGGTCAGTAGTTACATGTTTCATAGTAATAACAGCGTTAGAGAGCACACTGCTATGACAATGTTTGTTTTCCTGCGCTGTAGAGAGATTTTGCCCATGGATCTACAAGGCCTGACTTACAGAGAGCTGCTTAATTCCCTCGTGTTTACAAGGCTGTGTGTCTGTCGTTCCCTAGGACACATTGACAGAGAGCCACCTCGGTGTACACACTTCAGAGGAAAGTCACAATGAAATGACACAGCAAGCCTCCAGGAAGGTCCTTGGGCATGCCCGCATTGGTCACCCTCCTAGTGACAAAACCCTCGTCACGTTCTACAATGGTGCCTTCCCAGGTAGAAAAGCAGATCTCAGTGTCATAAGCTGGAAGTCTATGTTGATCTGAGTGAACCTAATGCAGAGTTTATTGGAGAATACAAGCTTATCAAAGGCCACTTTTGCTACTCACCTTGGAAAAAGCAAGCAGAGGCCAGTTAGTGTGGGAATGAGACTCTGGCCAGCTCCTCTTTGCCTAGTGCTTAAGCACATGAAGAGTTTGACTTGTTCCCCACTTACCACTTATGATCTTAGGCTTGTTTAATTTTGCTGAGGCCTTTTCCCACTCTGTGGAATGAGGATAACACCACTTTGAGACTACCACGTGGATTGCATGGGTTAATACCTGTAAAACATGGTGCACAAGCTCCTCCCTGTCTGTAGTTCTCAATACACTTGTGTTATTATTATTGCTGTTATTCTCACCACCACCTGACTCAGCCAGCAAGATACCAGACAGTGAGACTGATGGTCCCCTGCCTGCCATGGCAGAGCCATTGCCACCTCAGTATCCCACACTTTCCCTGATTTCCTTCTCATCAGCCAAATTAGCATAAAACTTCTATTTTCTATTCATCTATATGCATTTAATTATATATTTTCTATACCCAGAAAGGCACTCAGGTTAGGGGACAGCGGAGTATACTGTGATAATCTGAGCACTCAGGTTAGAGATGGCAGTATATACTGTGATCTGAGCAGCACTCAGGAAATGGGGCACCAGTTTAAGGTCATCCTACATTGCATAGTGAGTTTCAGGCTAGTTAGCCTGGGCTACAGTATGAAAAACTGCCCAAAAGATAAAGCAGAGGGCTATAGAGGTGGCTGGATGGTTAAAAGTGCTTGCCATTCTTCCAGAGGACCCCAGTTCAGTTCCCACCCACACTGGATGATTCACAACAATCTCATCTGCCTGTAACTAGCTCCAAGGGATCTAATACCCTCTGGCCTCTGCAGGCAAGCAGCATGTATCAACACACAACATACATACACAACACACACATACACAATTAAAACACAAGTTTAGTTGGTTGGCTGGTTGGTTTTTCGAGACAAGGTTTCTCTGTATTGCTTTGGAACCTGTACTAGTACTCACTCTGTAGACCAGGCTGGCCTCAAACTCACAGAGATCCGCCTGCCTTTGCCTCCTGAGTGCTGGGATTAAAGGCATGCGCCACCAACGTCCAGCTGAAAACAAGTTTCTAAGGAAAGAAAAGAAAATAACAAGAGTTAAAACTCAGCAGTTCACCCTATACCTGCAACTGATAAGTTTTCATTCCTATGTGTTTCTACAGATAAACACGGGAGCATAAAACTCCACAAGGCCAGAGGCCGCTGCTTGTCACAGGAGCCTCCTGTTGAAGGATGCCTTTTCCCTCCTATAGCATCTGCCACCGGCTCAGAACAAAGAACCCTTGGGGAAACACAGAAAAAGAAGGTAGGAGAAAGAGAGAGAGAGAGACACAGACAGAGACAGAGACACAGAGACAGAGAGTGCAAGTGTATGTGCATGTGTGTACATGTGTGTATATGTGTCTGTATGACTGTATGTGATGTCTGTATGTGTTCATGCATGTGTGCATGCGTGCGTGCGTGCGTCTGTCTGTCTGTCTGTCTGTCTGTCTGTCTATCTGTCTTCAGAGTAATCCCATTCTAGAAATTAAGTGACTCAGAAGGATGTCTCTAAGCTCATGAGGTAGAGTTGGACTGAAATGCTGTAGCAATTTACTGTAGCAATCGTGGAGTTGCCGCCCCCCCCCCCCCCCCTCTCCCATCATTCCTCAGAGCAGAACACTATCCTGTTAGGGGACAGGGAGTCTCTCTAAACAAGTAAGGGCAGAACTTGAGCCTGTGAGTGACTAGTTTTCTACCAATTAAAAATGCTTTGGAAATCAACTCTAGCAATGCTCACTCAGTTGAGGCTCTGTCACCTTGCAAATGGAGGGTAATTTGCCAAACTTATGAGAGGTGGCTCAGAGGTTAAGAGCACCAGCTGTTCTTACAGAGGTTCTGTGTTCAATTCCCAGCAACCACATGGTGGCTCACAACCATCTATAATGAGATCTGATGCCCTCTTCTGGCCTGCAGGCAAACATTCAGTCAGAACACCATACATACATACATACATACATACATACATACATACATACATACATTAAATCTTAAAAAAAAAAAAAGTAAAGAAGAGGGCCAAGAAGATGGTGCATTCTAAAGGCTCTTGCCACGAAGCCTGCCGACCTGACTCAATTCCTGGGACTCAAGCTTTAGAATTAGAATGCTAACTTCCACAAAGTGTCCTCTGATGTCCATGCACACGGTGGCAGATGCCCACTCACATATAATAAATAAATAAATGTGATGAAAATTTTAGAAGTGAAGAACACCTTCTTCCTTAAGATAACTCTGACCAAGGGGTTGGAGAGATGGCTCAGTGGTTAAGAGCACTGGCTACTCTTCCAGGGGACCCAAGTTCAATTCCCAGCACCCACATGGCTCCTCACAAACATCTCTAAGTTCACTTTTGGGAGATCTGACACCCTCACCCAGACACACATGAAGGTAAAACATCAGTGCATGAGAAGTGAAAATAAATTATTTAAATAAAAAAGATGATTCTGGGCCGGACGTTGGTGGCACACGCCTTTAATCCCAGCACTCGGGAGGCAGAGGCAAGTGGATCTCTGTGAGTTCGAGGCCAGCCTGGTCTCCAGAGAGAGTGCCAGGATAGGCTCCAAAACTACACAGAGGAACTCTGTCTCGAAAAACCAAAGGGAAAAAAAAAAAAAAAAAAAAAAAAGATGATTCTGGCCATCTATGGCCTGGCCCTGCTTCATGAATCTATGTGGGACTTTGGTGTTTAGGAAGCATTGGTGACAGATAAGAATTGTAGAAACTCTGGAATGCTCAGTCCCATGGCCGCTGTGTGAATATGGACAGGCCATTGCCATCTGAAGTGGCTCTGAAGGACAACAGGCAGCCTAGGCAATGCTGGTACCAGTAAGAGATGTTTTCATTCTGTTCAGGACTGTCTGGGTGGTCCTGAGTCTGAGCTGTGTTCCCAGGTTCCTTTGGGCCAGGAGCAAAGAGCTACCAGAACTCCCGCATCACAGGGCCTGAGCTCTCGAACCAGTCAGGCCCAACCCAAGCCAGGTGAAGAAGAAAGGGACTCCTTTGAATCCTGTGCATTCGTTTAACACAGGAAAGCAATATTTTCCACTGTGTTAAAACCCTGTGTCAATCTCTAATTAGAATAAAGAAACTAAGGCTTGGCTTGTCAGCCATCCCTCACACAAGAAGGCTGAGTTCCCACCCAGCTCTCTCAATGCAACCCTTGTGAAGCAGAATCCACAAGGTCCGTATTCAAAGCAGGGCTGTTGGTGGGCAGCACCTGTGCAGGGAGGGTCTCCAGGAACAGAGATCTTATGTGCGTGTGTTTGGCTAATCATGTTCTTAATGTCTCAGAATTATAAATATTACTTTGCATAAATGGCATAGAATTTCCTTACTCAATCAGCCCCAAGCATGTAGGATGCTTATGTGTGTTTCTGATTTCTGATTTTTATTTTCTTTTAAGCACTGGGGGGAAATAGCAATTTTTTTCTATTTTTCTTCCTCTGAAATCAAAACTGTCTGAAAGCTAGCACCCACACATTTGAGAGCACTAAATTCATATGCTAAATGTTGCAAGCAAAAAGTGATGTGATCTGCAATTTCTGAATAACTGGAGACTGGAGACTCCAAGTATTACCCTCATGGTGTCTCCCCTGCAACACACACACATATATGATATTATACATATGGGTGTGTGTGTGTGTGTGTGTGTGTGTGTATGAGAGAG